GAGAGAGAGAGAGAGAGAGAGAGAGAGAGAGAGAGAAAGTAAAAAGGCCCAGAGAAAAAATAGAGAAAAGATTTCGTTTTTTTTTTTTTTTTGAAGATCATGGACCATACACACACACATGTGCACATGACCATCAACAACAACTATAACGACGATAATAATCAAACGGCAAACATTGTTATTGATGAGAGAGAAAGAACCCGGAGATATTGATAGTTTCGGGTTTTAGTCGACAACGACCATCATCATTTATTATTATCATCAACCAACATTTGGCCATTTGATGATTGGTGTTTGTTTCGGTCTGTGTTTCTGTGTCTGTTTTTTTTGTTTATCATAAGCTCAACACTTGATCAACGGAATCTCCATTTTTTTTGCTAACCCAAAAATTTGTGCGGGTAAATTTTTCTCGATTGACGATGATGATGATAACAAACAAAAAATAAAATCTTTGTATCATCATTTCTCTAATATTGATATTCTTTTTCTTTATTTGTTTGTTTTTTTTTTGAAAATAGATTTTCTTCGATCATCATCATCGATTGATCAATAGCATCATCATCATAATTATCATCATCATCAATTTCAGTTACCACTACTGCATATGTGATTTTACAACGTTTATTAATTTTCTGTCTTTTGACGATAATCAACAATTGAAACGACTACGACAACGACGACCATAAGTCACCAAGAAGATAATTTACAAAAAAAATTGTCGGTTTTGTTGTTGTCGTCAATAATTTTCGTCATTTTTTTCCGCCAACACCACCACCACCACCACTATATCACTCTCTCCTGTTTTGCTTTACCACCAGTTGTTGTTGTTGTTGTTGGATTTTTTTTATATTTGATATATCGAAATTCATCGAACCAAAAAAAAACTATTACAACCACTTGTTGATGTCGTCGTATTATTTTTATTTTATTTTGATGATGATTTGTGTTGTTTTGATTGTTCAGTGTGCAAATGATGTTTGTTGATTTCCATCATCATCATCATTGTTGTTGTGGTTGTTGAATCTAAAATCGAATAAGAATATTTCAATAATAATCATGGATCGAAGAAAAAAACAAAATTAATTAAAATTTTTTTAAAAATCAAGACTGATCAATGTTTTGTGATAAACATCATCAAAGATATCAAATTCTTGATGATAAATTATGACTGAAATTGTTTTATCATCATCATTAACAAATAATAATCATCAATCGAATACAATCATAATGTCATCACAATCATCACCGGACACAAGTCCACAACATCCATGGCCAATGGGTATGTTTGTTTTTTGAAAAAGAAAAGATTCCTTGAATCTTTTTTTTCGTTGTTTTTGAAAACATTTTTCCGGAAATTTTCCTCTATAGAATTCGAAGGTTTTTTTTGTGTTACATAATCCAGTTTGATGATATTTTAGTATTTTTGTTTTCCCGATGATAACAGTTTTTTGGTAGAAATACGCCTCCAATATAGGTGTTGTTTTCAGTTTTTTCAGTTTAAGTTTTTGTTTTTCTAGAAAAATCAATCAATTAATTAATTAATTGATAACGGTAAATTAATTATCTATTACTGTTACTTTCATCATTTAATTTTCATTTTTTTAAATGATAAATGTTAATTACTGAATGCGATGTTTTCGTAACCGGTTTTTTTGTGTTTTGTTTCAATCTTGAAATCCATTCATCAATTTCATTTTTGTTGAATTTTTCGAATTATCAATCCGATATATCCATGATCTTGAATAATAATTATCATTTTGAATCATTTTTTTTTTCACTATCAAAAATCATGATAACGTTTGACCGTGGATAATCATTACTGCTTATGTGATGTTTTCCTGTTTGAAAAAATTTCTCTTTTCTTTGGAAATTTTTTTTGTTTTTGTTGTTGACCGATTTGAATTAGTTTAGAAAAGTTTTTTTCGACTTATACGGACATATTATTATGCAAAAAAGAAAGAAAGAATAAATGTTCAATGCAATATTATACTTTCACTCAACAACAACAACAAACATTTGACCATTCGGACTACATTTTTTCCCCCGACCGTTCTCTTTTGTCCGATTTTTGAATAAAGTTTTTTTTTCAATAAAGAGAAAATTTTTCGAGAAAAAAAATTCAAGGTCTTTTTCGGTATCAATCAACCAGATGATAGAAATATCTTCAACTCTTTCCCTTTCATTTCAAATTGATCGAAAAAAATAATAAGAAACCCCAGAAGGCAACGAAAAATCGAACGAAAAAACAAAATATGGAGAATGTATACATAGAAAAAACATTTGGTTAATACCAACTGCTGCTGCTTCTGGTTGCCATAATAATTCTTATATATTTCATGATGATTGTATACCCGCGCTCGCGAACGAATATTTGCTGCAGCTGTCCCGAACTTTTTCTTTGGACACACCATGTTGATAATTTCTCAATAAATTCTTCTCTTTTTTTTTATCTATAAAGACATGTGTGTAATGTGTAGTCAAGCGTGTGTGTTCTGTGTTTTTTTATTTATTCGTATGAAACGGGCTATTGAATTTTCGTTCCAAATGTCTATGGGCAACAAGAAAGATCGTTTGTTGTTGCTGTTGTTGTTGTTCAGAGTTTGCAAATGGCCAACACGGGTTTTGTTCAAATCGAAATCTCGTGCTTCATGTTTTTTTTCCCAACTTGTTGCTGGTCATAGCGAACCACTTCCACATTCATCCATCCATTTTTGATGATGATTTGACCTCGATGTTTTCGTTTTTCGTTTTTCGATCATTTTAGTTTTTGTTCTTCTGTTTCCACACAGTGAATGCAAAAAAAAAGTTAATTATTCTCTTGATTTTTTTTCCAAATGATGATGATGATGAGGCTCAAAAACACGGTCATGTGTATCCTCTGTCTTTTTGGGTAATAACTTTTGATGATGATGATGATGATAAGTTTTCGTTCTTCGTCGAAACGATAACTTTTTTTCGGGTTTGGTGATGATGATGGTTTACCATTTTTTTTTTCAATGGCCCCTGCTATACGAAAATTTTCATCCAATCAAATGATGATAACGTTATAGATACAGAAAAAAAGCTGGTTGATCGGTTTGTTGGTTGTAGAACCGAACCCCGAAATTTTCTTCTGCCTCTCGATTCTATTTATTTTCGAAATGACCGAAGCTGACTATTTGGACACATTTGATTACTATGATGATGACGATGATTAACTAGCTATAGTCGGCAGTTGACTGGCTGACCTGACTAACTGACTGACTGATGATTATGGGCCCCGTACAATTTCTCATTTTCAAAGTTTTCTTGTTTCTAGTTTCTAGTTTAATGTGTAAAAATCTCATCAAGTGTCGGGTCAAATCTTATCACACGGCACACATATACCGTGTACGATGATGATGATGACCGATTCACGACCTCTGACCATTTTTATATATAGGAATTTTCATCGTTGTTTTTAAGAAAACTTTAGATAATGATGAGGGTGGAATATCAACTTTTTTTTTGGCGAATTCCAAATTGGGTCCGTTTTTTTTTCTATTTTGGAAAAAAATTAAGGGCGGATATTTCATTTGTTACGGTGATTTTACACACACACAATCGATAATGATGATGATTTTTGTGGGCCATTTTTAATTATTAATCTAAAACGAAACAAACTAACAAAAAAGAAAAATGAAAATATAACGGAAATAAACTCACTCACTCTGTCTGTCTGCCTGCCTGTAATGCTATGGATGATTGCCATTGTCGGTCAAATATTCGAATGAAATATTTTAGTAGGTTGTTGTGTTTGGCAAAATTTCCGATTTGAAATTGTAGGCGGGTTTTTTTTGCCCAAACATCAACAATAACATCAATTTTTGTCGGTTTTTTATTTTGAAAACAATAACCTTGTTTTAGAATCTATTGATTTAATAATACTAATTTTTCATTTTTTTTTTAATTTAATCCGAAAACAAAAAAAATTAAATTTATAGTTCCAGTATTGCAAACATTAACCGTTTTATCGGATGGTGAAGAAGAACAAATGGAACAAAAAATGGGTATTGAAAATGGTTTAGGTAATGGTGGTTATTCTGTTGGTAATAATAATAATAATACAGTAACGGGTTTATCAATGACTAAAATGGCTATTGATAATGTTGTACAACATCTTCATCAACAACAGCAACAACAACAACAACAACATCAAAGACAATCATTAATTCATAATCAATCTAAACAACATTCATTATCAAATAGTCAGAAACGTAAAGTTGGACGACCAATTACATCGGTAAAAACGATGAATAGGTTTGTTTGAAAATTTGATTTTTTTTTTAATTTCTTTATTTTTTTTGACTTTGATTTTTTGTTTTTTGATTTTGATTTTTCATATTTAAGTAGATCATTTCCAGCTGTAGATGAAATTCGTGCCAAATTAGAAGCAGGTGAATGTTATGTACGACCACGTGCATCAAGTTCATCATCAGATGTTTGGGCATTATTTCAGGAAGTTGCCTATAAAGATAATCATGTATTTACCGGTATTGTACAATGTAAAACATGTCATTTTTTAACACGTTATCATGGCCAAATAACTGGTACATCACATATGCGTCGTCATCATTGTTTTTCATTATTATTTCCAAATTCAACACCAGCTAATCGTAAACCAAAAATCAATAATAATAATAATAATAATGCAATTCCAATACAATCATCAATTAATAATGGAAATAATAATAATCGATCAAATGGTGTCAATACAACAACATTCAATATTTCGGATGCTGATTCAACAACACCACGAATGTTAAAAAGAATAAAAAAAGATTCAACAACAACAACAACAATAGCCGGACGACAAATATTTAGTAATAATCATTTAAATTTGAATGATACAACAACAGCAACATTATTATCATCACCAACAACAACAACAACGTTAAATAATCAAACAACAAATGCTCATATAACTATACATCCAGCATTACCAAAGAAAAAATTTAAAAATCAATCACCTGTTGGTATTAGTGGTGGTGTAATTCACCATGCAACCGATACACGATCATTAATATCGAATGGTGGTATGGCCGTTACAATGACAACCAAATCACCATCACCATCATCATCATCGGCATCATCATCATCATCAGCATCATCACAATCAATGTTACATCCACGATCATCGAATAATAATGGATATAATTCACCATCATCATCAGCAACAACAGCAACAAATACGACTACAATAAATGGTCAACGAAATATACAGCATATTCGTCAAGATCTTCGTGAACGAATTGTACAATTTTGTGCTGAAGAATTAATACCATTACAATCGATTATTAGTGATTCATTTAAATCTATATTACAATCTTATCTTCGTCTTTGTACACAACAAGTTTTACAACAATTTTATCAACAGCCACAACTTTTAAATGTTGCAACAACATTATCATCTTGTATAAATCATCTTCCAGTACAATCACCCGATCTAGAACAATTACAATCATATCAATTGCAATTATATAGACAATGTTTAGATCGTATTCGATCGGATGTCAATACGAATCTTGATGAAAATCCAGGCTCAGCTTTAGTCTGTGATTCGGATAATGATGCCTGTATAATGTCTGTACATTATGTGGATTCACGTTGGCAATTAACTGAAGCTATTCTTTCGGCATCCGGTATGGTTGTCGATATTAATCGATTTGTTGCTCGTACTCTTGATGATTATAATCTTCAAGATCGTAAAAAATTAGGTAAATTTACATTCGTATCGCATGGAGGTCAATTTGGTGGCGTATCCGTTTGTCTTAGTTCGATGGCACATATTGTCGATAAAGTAGTGGAAGAATCGATGGCTATCGTAACCGATAATGAAGATTCTTCACATCCATTATTAGAACTATTCGATTCATGCCATAATATTGCTATTCGTTTAAATTTACAGCCAATAATTGAACAGGCTAATCCATATGATGTTGATTGGATTGGTAAATATGAACTATTGAAAGCAATCGATGATAATAGCCAATCGATTGATGATCAAGATAAATCAATTGATTTTAAATTAATATCCATATTGATCAAATTATTGGAACCATTTCGTACGGCATCAAATGAATTAAGACAATGTTCAAATCATCCAACACTTTGTCATGTATTGTTATATTTTTATAAATTGAAAAAAGTTTTATCATCCACACAACATATAACTGGCCTTATAAATAATAATAATAATAATAACCAGAATAAGAATATAAATAATAATAATCATAATGCAAGACGAAATAGTAAATCAACGAAAAAAATGAAAAATAATACAACAAGTAGTGAATCGGATTCTGATTCGAATGAAGAAAAAGAAACATTTGATTCATTGAATAATAATACGGGTGATAAAAATAATGATGAAAAATCTAACAAAAATGATGACGATAATGATGATGATGATGATGATGTTGATGAGAATAAAGATCAAATAAATCTAAATCGATTAATACAAAATCTTCGACAAGCATTAATGGATAATTTAGAAAAATATTATAAAGTACAATCATTGCATAGGATAGCAACATTTTTATGGCCAAATTTTCGATTATTAAAAATGTTAACATCAGATGAACAAAAAGAAGTACATGAAGATGTAAGAAAATTAATACAAACTAGAGTAAAATGTACAAATAATTTAAATAATTCAAATAATGGCCAAATAACAAATGATTGTGGTATTGGTGATAGTCATAATGATGGTGATGATCCAGATAATAATAATATTAATATGGATATATCTAATGGTAATGGCAGTAATGATAATTTGAAAAATAAATCCAAATCAAATTTTGATGAATGGGAAATATTTTCCGATGAAGATCAAGATGAAGTGGATAAATATTTATCCGTACAATTAACATCTTGTTCAGAACATTTTGTATTAAATTGGTGGCGTGAACATTCACAAGAATTTCCAAAATTATCACAACTTGCTAAATGGATATTATCTATACCGGCATCAGTTACAACAAGAGAAAGATTTAAAATTACGAAAAATTGTCAAATTGATGATATGTTATTATTTTTACATTGTAATATGTAAGTTTTGATTAATTATTGTTTTTTATCGAAAAAAATTTTAACATTTTTTTTTCTCTTTTTATCAGGAAAACTGAAAAATTTGATCTAGCCACATTGAAACGATCATTAAAACAACAATCATCATCAACATCTAAATCAAAAAATCGAAATTCCATCAATTCAAATAATTTTAATGTATCAGCAGCTGCTGTTGCAGCAGCAGCATCTTCAAGTTTAATTGCCAATTAACCAAACTGAAAATCATCATTTTTGTTGTGTTGACCTCATTCATTTTTTTCCAAGAAAAAAAATTGTTCTTCAATATAGAATTTTCCTATTGTAATGATTCCATGTTTTTTTTGAAAAAATAATTCCGTAGTCATATTCTACAGACATTATTATTCATTTATAACAGAATTTGTTTTTCTTTTCTTTTTTTGAAATTTTTACGAATTCGTAACCAAACACAGAATTGTATTTTCAATTATTTAAATAAAATATATTTTTTTTATTTTTGACCAGATTTTTTTTTTGTATAGAATTTAAATAATTTTTGTTTTCTTTCGAATAAATAAAATTTTTTTTTTAACAATGTGATCCACTGTGTAATCATTATGTGAATGGTAAAAAATTTGCAAACATAACGGTACCAAGAATAAAATAACTAAAAAACCATAACTGACGATATGAAATTTTTAAATGATATTTTGTAATTTGTAATTTTGATGATAAAAATCGATTTTTTTGTCGATTTTCCAAATGAAATATTGCCCAATATGGCCATGGATTTGATGATAATAGAAAACGATTAGCAACTTGTATATGCATGAATAATATACAGAATATTGTTAAACATAGTGAATGTATAACAAATGGTAAACATGATTTTGTTTTCATTATATCAATCTTTTTTCGTTTATTCATCAATGAAGATGATGATGATGTATGATGATCATTAATTAATAATGAAACATTCTGATGATATTTATCGATACGAAATATTGATTGAATAAATTGAAAATTTGTATAAAAATATTCATATGATGAATAAAGAATAATGGTAAGAATTGGAATGGCAATAAGAAAATTTGGTAATTGTTTCCATTGATAATATCGTAAAAAACCGATATTCCAATATTTTGCCTGTATTGCTTGATATGATAATGGAATGATGAATGTTGAATTATAACACCAATTTGGTGAAATTTTTTCAGTGATTAAATCATTATTACAGAATAATTTATAAGCATAATATTGGTAAAGTAAAAATGGCACAATGATTATTATCATTAAAACGAAAGTTTTAAATAAATTCTTCAATATCACAAAAATTTTTGTCGAAATATTTTGTTGAAATTTTCGATTTTTATATTCAAATTCAATCCAAATCAAACAAATTTGATAGAATATGATGTAACCAATTGATAAGATTCCTATTCAAATTGTAAATGTAAACAAAAATTAATTGAAACGAGGAAAAAAAAGAAAAAATTATTCATACCATTTGATCTTGTCAATGTACTGAATGCAAATAATAACGATGCCAATAAGGAATTTTGGCCAATATATAAACAATAAAGTGCAGCCAATGTTAATGATGTAAATAATGATTCTGTATAACAGGCTGTAAAAAATATTGATGCTGGATTATAGATGAATAATTCAACAATATTCATAATATCATTATGAATATTGTCATTATCATCATGATTGATAAAAAAATGTCGACTTAATTCATATAGTAAACATGATGATAAACAAAAACAAATCAAATTGATTAGATAGGCTGAAATAATAATCAATGTAATCCAATGAAATTGAATGATTGGTAATGTTATTAACGATAATATTGTAGCAAAATTTCTAATCAACAATGGATATAATGGAAAAAATGCCAACATTTGTTCATCAATATAATGGCCATTCATGGCAATAGTTAGAAAATATTGACCATCCCATGATATGAATGGTTTCATCAACCGAAGAATTATTTGTTCAATCCAGCCATGTTTCGAAGAAAAATGTTTCGAAATTGTTTCATTATGATAAGCATCGGCATGATGATCAACAATCAATTGATCGGCAACAATTGCTATCAATGTTAATTGAATTCTTGATTGTAAACATTTTCTTATTATGATTATTGGCCATGAATTTGAGACCATGGCATTCTAATTTTGGTTTGTTTAGATTTTATCCAAAATCAAATTACGAATAAAGAAAACGAAATAAAATCTCTTGATGTTTTGTTTTTCCAATTCAATTCAAAATTATAAACACATTTTATCGTTTGTTTATTTGGAAAAAAAAGGACATGAGCGGATCTTCGATCAGGATAAAAAAAAACAAAGAATCCACGCGCATGTACCATGAGAAAAAAAAATATAATATCCTTGTTATCATCAATACCACTATCCTTGATTTGGATTAAAGAAGTGGTAGTGATATCATTGATGATGGTAGTTTGGTTCGGTAATTTTTGATTTAACCAAAAAAAAACTGTATACCCAAAGTGAATGAAAGATATCCATAGAAATACACAATGCCGAAAAAAGAAAAAGAAAAAGAAAATGTCCAAATGGTACAACCCAAAATGAAATGTGAATGTTTGAATGGAACAACAAAACGGAATGTTTTTCTTGTCGTCTTCATCGTCGTCGTCGTCGTCGTTGATATTGTCGTTTTAAAAACATAATCATCGTTTGCTGAATGATATGATGGTGGTGGTGGCGGTAATAATGATGATGGCTTCTTTCTTTTTTTTTTGCAATGAAAAAGGAACATAGAGAAAAAAAACCACAGGAATGCTGAAGACAAACTTGCTTTTTTTTCGATTTAGATTTTTTTGAAAAAATTCATTGGCTGTTATTAGAGCGAACGATATAACCACCAACCACTTTGTGTATTTGTGTGTCTAATCATTTATATAACGAACGTCGTCGTTGTTGTTGTTCATCATCATCATCATTTACCATTTACCATTATCGTTGAAAAAAAAAGTTTTCGCATTTATTCGGTTAATGTTTTTAATGTTGTTGTTGTTGTTGTTATTGTCCAATTTTATAATGTGATAAACTTTACTATCTTAGATAGATAGATAGATAGATGGATATTGAATTTCATTGTTCTGGCGCCATTTGAAATTTACCGAAAGTTTGTTTTTCTCTATATATAAAAATAGAGTCTGCACACATCAACAATCATTTGAATTTGAATTTGGATTCGGATCGTGTGTTGTTTGCACGGTGTTTTGCAAAGAAACACCAAAAATGTTTTTCAATCGTTGATTTTGTTTTTTTGAATCGAATTTCAAATTTGTTTCATTGGTCATTGCCACTGTGTTTCTTTTTTTTTGGGTTCTGTGTTTGGGCGCCATTCACTACCATTACTGTTGATTGAAAAAGATTTCAAAAAAAATGCGACCAACAATTGAAAAACGTTCGAATGATAATAATGATGATGGTGGTGGGGGTGATGGTGGTAGAAATCAATCTTCACCACAGTCATCATCATCAAAATCTAGTAAAGATTCAATCGATCCATTATCGATGAATACAAATAATCATCAACATCATCATCAAAATAAATCATGGTTAAGAAATCAATTATCAGCATTATTACCATCATCATCATCTAGTCCATCAAAATCAATGTTTTTAATCAATAATAAAACAAATCTAGATTATCATTCAAATTCATCTTGTAAATCATCATCATTAACATCATCAACAATGTCAATGATAATTACAATTTTTATTATAATCATAATAATCATAACAACAATATCATTCAATTCATTTAATCATCTAAGGAATCGTATTGATCATTTGGAACAAAAATATTCATTACTTGAATCAACAATCATCAATAATAATAATTATCATTCATCATCATCATCATCATCATCGAATAAACCTGAATTGATAAAATCATCAAATTTACCTGATGAAACATTCGATCAATTATTAACAGATATAATTGATGAATGGCAATTATATAATAATAATAATAAACGACAAAATAATGATTTTATTATTTCATCAAATTCATATGATGATGTTAATGTTAGTGATCATAATTCAATCAATGTCGACAATGATGATGATGATTTGAAACCAAATATGAAAAAATTTCATAATCGATTTGAACAACTAATACAAATGGTTAGTAGTGATGATGATTTATTTTTTGAACATCTTTTTTTCCGAAGATTTTGTCATTTTTTTTGATCATTTTAAAATTTTTGAAATTCTTTCTTTTTCTTTGAACCAAAAAAAAGAAGATTTTTCATGCTTCAGCCATAGATAATTGATCTTAAAAAAAATTGTACTGACCTTTAACCTCGAAGGCAAATTATAAATATCGTTTGGCCTTCGATATTTTAGCATCGTTTACGATAGAAAAGTAGAAAACTAAACAAACGAAACCACAAATAGTGTGTGTTTACCTTCCTTATAATATCCGAACAAATATATTTTCCAATAAATGATACATCCATCAATCATCGGGAGAGAGAGAGAAAGAGAAAAAAATCGTTGATATCATCATCATCAACATCAATATTGTAGCATTGATAAGGGTCGGCAACTATTCGACAAATATTCGCATTAAATCGAATCAATCAATCATTTTTCTTGATTCGCCCACATTCTTTTTTTTTCTTACATGATAATGATCGGTGTTGTTGTTGTTTGTTTGTTTGTTTTTCTAATCGTTTTTTTTCTCTTTGATTTTCGATTCGATTCAATCGATGAAATCAAAGATGTTCAAGTTTTCGAATTTGGTTGAGCAATATTTTTTTCCATCATCATCATCATCATCACTTGAACAAACACTCCCCACCAGTTATCGTAATATTTATTTGCATTTGAAAATTATCGTTTTTTTTCGTATCTTAAATCAACAAATTGCACAAACACACACACACACACATGATACATTCGATGATGATGACATTAATATCATCATCATTTGATCAAACGAAGATTAGATGTTTTTTCCGAACAGAAAAAAAAACAAAATAAAAATATCATTCGAAAAAAATCATTCGAAAAATTTTATTCGAAAAAAAATTCATTCGAAATATTCATCCAAATAGGACGTATCGTATGGATACCGGAAAACTCCGTAAAATATCGCATTTTTATTTAAAATTCTATACTTGTCTTCCATCATCATCATCATCATCACATAATTATCATTCGAATATAGCGAAAATAGAATCCGGAATTCGAATTTGTTTCAGAATTTTCTTGTCAAAAAAAAAACCTTTCCAATTGTTTCACCGTTTTTTTCTTTGATCCATATTGTTGAATTGAGAAGCAAAAAAACAAAAATTGAATTTTTCAAAATCTTTTGAAAAAATTCAATTCGAATGATGTGCTGATGATAATGATATTTCTGGAAATGGTCACGTTTCAATTTCATTTGGTATCGTGCTTGGCGTGTTTTTTTTCATTCTTTGATTCTTTGGATTTTGATGTTTTATTGAACTCTTCGAAATTCGTGTGTGATCGAAAATGAAAATGTTTTTGTTTCTTCTTCTTTTTCTCGTTTCGATTTTCTTCGAAACCAGAACTCAATAATATCCAAGTCGAAGTAAAACCAACACACAGAGAGAATCATTGTGAAAAAAAACAGGAATTTTTTCAGTTTGAAAAAAATGAAAATTCATTTTCCAGAATAGTTTCCGGAAATTGAGTGAAAAAAAAAGATTCGAAACGAAATGTTTATCCCAAACCAAATTCAAACATTGAATTCAATGTTTTTGTTTTTTGGTTCTGCATAAACCACTCATGAATAACACGATGATTATGATGATGTTTATCATTCCAATTCACCATATGTGAATGTAATCAATATTTTTTAATTAATTTTTGTTTTGATTTTTGGGGTTCTGTTTCTGATTATTAACCATCAGTTTCCAATGAATAAATGAATGATTATAATTGAATTTTGTTTTTTCGCTCGTTGAAGAGGTCATCATCATGGTGATGGTGGTTATTATCGATACAATCGATTCGAATGTTGTCGTTATAGAATAACCTGGAATAACAACAACCGATCATTAAAAAACCGGAATTCATCAGGTTTTGATCAGAGATTATTTACTGGTGCGAAACAAACATTATCGACAACAACAACATTTGATCGATTTTTTTTCGAATCGTAAATTGAATTTAAATTCAAGTTTTTTTTCTCGCCACCACTCTAATCAAATTCAATCAATGAGAAAATTTTCATTCATTTTTTTTCGAATTCAAATTTACCAAGTGCTGTGTATGGGAATGTCATTCATGATCTACGACGATGATAATAGGTTTTTTTGTTTCTGGTTGTAAACCAGAAAAAAAAAATTTCTAGTTCATTAATTTTTTTTTTTGAAAAAAATTAAATCAAAATCTTTTTCTTCTTCCCTTGCTTTAAATTGAAAATGATTTAAATATGAATTGAAAGAACCAAACAAAACAAGACGAAGAAAACTTTTAATTTTGTTTTCGGATTTGAATTTTTTTTTCAAAATAGAAAAAAAAACCATTCTTCAAACCATTGCCTGTCCAGGAATAAAGATTCAAGCAAAGTGAACATAAAGTTGAAAAGAAGCTTAAAACAGCCCATTCAAACCGATTATTCCGGTGGAAAAATACAAAAAAAAAATATCCGTAATTTTCAATTGCTTTTGTTCCGATTTTCGGCTACAATTTCCGATTCTCTCACAATTCTTTACAGTGATTTTATTCTTCCTCTCTCTGTGTGTGTGTGTGTTCAAATTAACTTGAATGAATTTATTTCGTTTGAATAAATTGCTTCCACACACACACACATTTCACAGAGAATTTTGTCATTATTATTGAATTTTTTTTTCGTTTCGTTTCGTTTTTCCTGATTCCGATAGCCAAAAAAACGAAAACGAAAAGACCGAGAGTTGAACAACAACAACAACAGTCATGACACGATTAATTTTGATTAATTTTCAATTTTTTTTTTTTGTTGTTGTTATCGTTTTTTGTTGTTGTTGTTGTTTCAAATGTGTATAAAAATACAACAACAACAACAAATAAATAATATTAATTAGCTTGGATTTCAAGCGAAAAACAGAAAAAATCGATGGAATTTTTGCTTCGTTAAGTTTTTTTTTCGAAAATTTTCGCGATGTTTCCAAAACAAAAAAAAATCCATACAATGGCAAAAAACTATGGTTTTGTCAAAATTGGCCTGATGATGATGATGAAGATAAAAACCAGTCGAATGAATTCATTTCAGTGTCACATTCTATGTAATAACATTGTTACAAAATGAATGAAACAAAATGAAAAATGAAATGAATGGGAAAAAATTATTATTATTTATTAGTGAATCGAGAGAGAGAATTGAAAGAAACTTTTTTTTTTATCTTTGATCTTTTGTTGTTGCTGTTGGATGTTTTGTATTTTGTTGTTTCGATAACAGGGTTGAATTGGATGATATTCCCATTTGGATTCCTCAACCAAAAAAAAAATGTTTGCTACCAGCAGCCTGGAATTATTAAAATGAGAATCCAGAATTTTTTTTCTTTTTGATCATTGAAATGAACCGAAAACTGAAAACAAAACAAATTTTTTTGTTTTCAGTTTTTCTTTAGGATTCTTTGTTCACAAATGAAATGAAATTCAATTTTGGCAAAAAAAAAAGTTTTTCACTTTCCTAATGAATTGAATTCTAATGTTTTGCAAAAGAATTTTGTGGATGAAAAGTTTTTGGCATTATTTTTCTCAGTGAAATTCTCTCTTTTTCTGAATTGAATTGAACTGAATATGCAATGAAATAAGAGAAAAATTAATTTTTCAAGTTTTAAAGTTTTAAAAACAAAACAAAATTCAAAACAAAACAGAAAAAATTCCCAAAAAATAATTGATTCATATCAGAAAATCAATACTTTTCCTCTGAATGTGTGTACGTCATTTTTGTTTAGCTCTTCTAATCTTTCGGGAAAAAACATTCATTATTCCGGTTATTTTTTTGTTGACTTTTCACATAAGAATCCTGATGTTTTTTATTTCATTCAATTAGCATTGTTGAAAAGAAATCCTTTCAACAATTGCAAACAACAAATGATGGTTGATTGTGAAGTAGAAATTCTGTAAAAAAGCAGAAATTGATTTGCATCTTTTCAACACTTTCCATTCTCGTTATTTGAAGAAAAAAAATTCATTTAAATGATGAAATGAATTTGCCCACCAACGTCGATCAACACACACAAAAAAAAATATTCTAAAGAATTCTGGATTCTAAATAATGAAAAAAATTTATAAAAATTTCAATTGAAATTGAAATTGATTCCTGTTTTGTTCAACAACAACAACAACAACAAAAAGAAGAAGAATATTCTGTGTGTGGCAATATCATGATGTGATTCTTTGATTCATTCATGATAATGATGATGTGTGTGTTTGTGTGTGTGTAAAGTGACGATGAAAAAAAACGAATTTTTTGTTATTTATTGATTGATTGATAAATTTCACACCAAAACAGCAGCTCAATATATATATTCTGGTCGTCAAAAAAAATAATGATGATGTTTTTTCTCTCTCACTCTCATTCGATGTACATTACATTTTGATAGCGAAATCTGATTCAATTTCCACTATATCAATAATTATGAATGTTATTTTGGTGATGATATTGATTTTTTTTCTTGTTCAATCATTTTAATAGCTTTTCCTTTTCCAAACTAAATGTTTATATTTTCAGTAAAATTCATTGATGATAAATATGGTTAATGTGTGTGTGTTTATACGATGTTTGGTTTTGGTTTTGGTTCGATGATGATGATGATGATTGATAGTTTACAGTTATGAAATTGCGAAACAAGAAAAATTTGATGATTTTTTTTTTTGAAATCAATTTTTGATCAAAATTCACTGCGATTGAAATTTTGAGATTTTTTTGGCTAAATGAAACAATGAAAAGTATAGAAAAAAAATGAAATGCAAAGCCACCATACACCACTATCCGTCCATCCACACTTAATAATGTTTTTTTAAACAAACATTGTGTTTAATGGATACTTTTTAAATGGGATAAAACAACAGACCTGGAAGTCATCATTATTATGGAAAATGTCAATTACACATAATGGCCATTAATATCCTGATTATCGTCATCATTTTTTTTCAAAGAAATCAAATGATTAATTGTTTTCTGGATTTTTTCTTTTTTTAAAATTTTCTATAGAGTTTTCAACGATTTTTAAACAATTTACAATCACCAATGGCTATACCAAATGACGGCCAAATTCATCAATCATCATCATCATCATTACCGACATCATATGAACAACAAATTTATCGTTTCCGTCGTGAAGCTATTCTACCATTAGGATCCTCATCATCGAATCAAAATCCTAATAATCAATATGGTGGTGGTGGTGGTAGTGCCAATGGTTTTTCACAATGTATTTGTCCGCCTGGTAAGTAGAATTTTATCAATTTCTTTTTTTTGTTTCAATTATCATTTGATGGATGTTATATTTTGACCTTTTTTTCCTGACATTTTTCTCTTCACTTATCTCTTCATTGATGTTCATTCAATTAGCAGTTTTCGGTGACAAATTTTTCTTGTTTTTGTTTTTGAATCTCCGATTTATATGAAGCATTTAATGGTCCTCTTAATCAAGATGATTGTCGTCGTTGTCGTCAGTCAAGATCAGGCCAATAATTGTTTCATTTCCGGACATGAATAATTTTCGAAAATGAATGATGAATTTTGCTTGATTCGTATATGTACTTGTTTGCCATCAATGTTGAATACTTGGGCTTTTTCAAGATTATATTTTTGTTGATATTCCTCATTTAAGATTTGCTTAAGATTCAATCATCATCATCATCATCAATTTGATTCGTAGACAGCGATAAAGACATATTTATAAACACAGCATAGAATGAGAGAAAGAGAGATACGGAGAAATTTTCTGGAAAAATAAAATAAATTCATAATCCATAAGCCTGCCAAAAATTGTAATCTTTTTTTCTTCTGCTTTTACATTCAGTCATGGTTTTCATCATCATTATCATCATAATCATCATCATCATTTTTTTCTGGGATATATTTTCAAGATTTTCAATTTTTGAAAAGCCATTCAAAATTATACATGTTGTTGTTATTTCGATTCGTTTCACGGATGTCATATGTCATGATGTTCTCTCTCTCTTGTTTCTGCTCTCTGTACATTGCACTGATTTGCTGATTTGCTATGATGATGATGACATTAAAATTTCTCTCTGATTCTTTTTTTGATTAATAATATGGATTTTCTACTTTATTTTTGGATATCATCATCATTTTTTGACACGATGAAGACGACGTTGATGATGATTATGGCTTATTTTGTGTGATATAAGAAAACAAATGTTTTGATTTTTTTTTGAAAATGATTGATGTAAAAAAAGTTTCAATTTGTTTTTGAATGAAACAAAAAAATCATTGAAAATTTCACTTTTTCTGGTTTTAAAGAATTTTCCCGGGAAATTTTCTTTCTAAAAAGTTTCCACAAACACCGATAAAGGACAATGTTTTCACCTGGCTAAAAAAAACATCGTTTATCTTTCCTTCTTTTTTTGATGGTTTGATTTCCTATTAATAAAACTTTTGTCTTTTCACTTTCCTGTTCGATTGAAAATGCCATAATTCATTGAACTTTATCGGAAACCAATGAAAAAAAGTTTAGTGACAATGTTGTGGAACAAAGTTTTTCGCATGTAAAGAAAAATTGATTAACTATGAAGAAAACTAAGAAACAATGAATCATTGGTAACCAATCAAATTAATTCCAAAAAAAGGATGTAACTTTGTTTTGTTTGTTTTTAATTAACTAGAAATGTTTAATTATAAGCAATGTTTGTTTGTTTGATGTTGAATTATAGGTTTTTTTTTGTTTTGTTTTCAATAAGATACCGTATTTTTACGGTTGTTTTTTTTCCAAGAGAATTGTTGGCAATGGAACTTGAATAACCGTGTTATGATGGTAAATTGTTTTAAAAAACATCATCACCATTGTCATGATGATGATGATGAACAAATTGCCTATTATACAATGATGACAATGATGATTGTTATCTCTCTCTATATCCATGATGAATTGATGAAAACATCATCATCATCATTTTTTTCCGGGATAAGAATGTAAAATGAGAATGTAGAGAGAGCGAAAGAATGAACAAACAATATCAAATGTTTGATGAGAATTTATTCACATCTGCAGTTCACACATTCGAACAACAACAACCGACCGACCGACCGAATTGAATTTCAGAATTTGTTTCCATCATTGTCTTCTCGTATTCTATAATGATGCAATGATAAACATTTGAATGTTTAAAAATAAATTCTCTCAATGAAAATTGGATGAGATTTTCATCACCTTGTTTTTGTTTCCACATTTAGTGATAAATGATGATGATGATACTTTGACATCGTTTTTTCTGTTTTTTTGGTTTCTATTTTGAAAACATTTAAAAATTTAAAATTCAAACAAAAAAAAAGAAATTTATCAAACAAGGGCATCGACATTTATCATTATTCGTTTTGTAATTGAATGAATGAATGATTATGTAATTTGTTTTGGATTCAAATTCAATGATGACCAAAACCATCAAATACCATTAGCATCATCATCATCATAATGGTAGATTTGGTTTGCAAATAAGGGAATGATGATGATGATGATTTTGATTGTTTTCCACAATCATCATCATTGGAAGAAAAAAAAACATTGAAATTGAATCGATTGAATTAATGATAATGGTTTTTTGTTAGTTTGAAAAACAGAGAGAGAGAGATAGATGAAAAGCATTATTACATCACTCATCATTACAGAGAACAATAAAACAACAACAACAACAGCAATCCAGACAAATAAAAGATTAAATTTGACTTTCAATTTGAAAAAAAACTACACAAATAATGATGATGATAATGATGCTAATTGTGTGTTTGTGCGTTGTTGTTGTTTTTTTCCGGTTATCATCATAAACATTTGAAATCGATAGAAAAATACAAAACAATTTTGTCTAAAACGAAAAAAAAATTGTTGTTGTTGGTTGGTTGGTGAATAGAATCCGGTAGCAGCCTGGTGCAATCATCTTAATGATTTTTACATTTTGTTTTTTTGTTTTTTGTTTTGTTGGTTTTTCAGTTTGTCCATTAGAGATTTATTCACAATGTTGAACAAGAGAATAAAATGGCCGTATCCCGAGAAAAAAATTACCCGTCCAATAAATGCTTTCTTCGGCGGTAAACAAACAAAAAAAAAACATTGACAAAGAGAGAAATTTCGGGTTATCGGTTAAAATACGATAAAATTTATTGATTATATCATTTAGGGTTAACTTGACTTTTGGATTTTTTGTTTCTTCTTTTGAATTTTACCAGTTTGTACCGCCGTTTGTTTGTCAAAAGAATCATGATTATATATAGGGAATTCAATGTTAAATTCGTAGAAAATCATGGGCAATTTAGTCGATTATTTTCCCATTCACTGCAGCATGTGTGTGTATGGGTGAATGGCATTCGTTTTTGCATTTTTCGCATTTAAATTTTTGAAAATTCACAAATTCTATGCACACATACATTTTTCTTTTTCTTTTCTTCGTTCGTTGGTTGGTTATTGGTTTCTATTTCAAATCATTTGTTTGATTATGATGTTGATGTTGATGATGATCAAGATAAAGATGTGGAACGTTTCAGTATTTGAATAAATTTTTATCACTTTTTTGTTGCTGCTTGAATGAAATTCTTTTTTATTTTTCTTCAATTTTTAGGTCCAAGAGGAAAACGTGGTAAACGTGGATTACCCGGCGAACCGGGTATTGTGGTAAGTTTTTTGCTTTTTTTCAAATTTTACGTTTAGATTCTCTTCTCTTCTATTCAATCTATCTATATCTGTCTTTATTAATGTCATTTTTTTCACTTTCTTTTTTTAATCCTTTACTTCTTCCACTGTAAAACAAATCTAATTTACTAATTAATTACAAAACAAACATTCAATCAGGGTCCACCGGGCAAGCCTGGATTTCCGGTACGATTTTTTCTTTTCTCTTCTTTTAAATATTTATATAAAAATCTTTCTTTTCTTTTCTTTTCTCTGCAAATCTTTTCATCTGAATTCTTTTCTTTTTTTTTCATTTGTTTTAAAACTGAAATCTTTTTTCATTTCTTTATTCTTTATTGAATCTCTATCGAAAAACGTTAAATAATTTATTAAATTTTATTTTACAAAAAACCATTAAAGGGAGCCATGGGTATTGATGGTCCTAAAGGAGAACCGGTATGAAATTTTTCTCTAAATATTTTCTCTGTATACTGATGAATCAGCGAAAACCCGAAAGAATTAATTTTTTAATTTTCTTTTCTTTTTTCTTTTGGTAAAAAAACGTATAGGGAGAAAAAGGTGACAAAGGTGAAAAAGGCGAAAGTGGCCTTGATGTTATTACTACTTCAAAGGTAAGTTTCAATTGTCCAAATATCGAAGAAAATTCATTTTAAAATCAACCGAACCATCCTACCTCACAATGACATACACATACAATGGATAGATTTGAGGATTTTTTTTTGTTTTTATTTTTTGCCAATTTTTTGTTTTTTTTTTTTGTTTTTACCCGATCATCATTTTTAATATTTGAAAAATAAAGGGTGTCAAACGATCAGTTACAAGATTACGTGGTGGTACACTTGGTTATGCTGAATTAATTGCCATTAAGGTTTGTTGTTTTTTCGTTTCGGAGTAAAAATAACCCTTTTATTTTCATCATTTTGTTTGGCTTTTCATTTTCCGCACACACATGAAAACACACACCTAAAACCGAAACCCAAGTTTCCTAATCCGCCTTAACCTGAATAATTAACCAGAAACAAAAATTTTTGCCTTTCTTTGCTTCTTTGAAATAAACTAATAATGAAAACGTTTTTTCTTTCCTTTAATTAAACTTTTCCAAATGAAACACACAAACAAAATCCTATTTAATCAAAACTAAACTAAAACTAATCTAAAAAAAGGGACTTGCTTCAATGGGTCTAATTGCTACTCCTCGTGATATACTTTTAATGAAAGTGAGTTACATTGTTTCTTTCTTGTTTGACGGTAACTCTTTCTAATTTTTCCTGGAAAATTCTGTTTTGTTATTTTGAATCGTTGTTGTTTAAAATTAATTAATCGATTGATTTTTGTCTTTTTTTTCAATGAAAAATTATTAAATAGGGAGAACCTGGACCATCAGGTCCACCTGGTCCACCAGGACTTCCTGGTCCAACTGGTCTACCTGGATTTGATGGCCGTATTGGATTACCTGGTGATCCTGTATGAAATATTTTTTCGTTTATTTGTTTTGGCACAAAATTTTCATTTTTGTTATTTTGTTTTTGTTTAAAATGATAGGGACCTCCTGGAAATCCTGGTCCAATGGGACCAATAGGACCACCTGGACCATTAGGTAAAGATGGATTACCTGGACCAAAGGTTAGTAATATTTTCGTGCAAAAAAAAAATTCTTCTTTTTTTGTTTGTTTGAACACCAAAATTGTATTTGTTTCTTTCTCTCCACATTTGGTAGTTTTTTTGGGTTTTTTATCATCATCATTTTTCATTTTATAAAAGAAAATCGATTTTTCATTTCATTTTTTTCAACTAAAGATTAGTTTTTTTGTTTTGTTTTTGTTTCCTTTGGATTTAACACTGTGTGAAATTGAGAGGACTACTATTGGAAAAATTGATTGATGTTTTTATCTTTATCTTTTTCTTCTTCTTTTATTCTTTTAATGCTTTCCATTTGGATCGGTTCGTTCGTTCGTTTTTTTTTTGTTTGTTTGTTTGTGTATTTTTTGTATGGATGTTTTGTTGGATGTTGAATGTTTCTTTGTTCCAAAACATAATTTTGTTCTTGGAACCAATCAACAAAGGGAGAAAAAGGTGAAAAAGGTGAACGAGGTTTAACAACAACATTGGATGGTAATGCTTTTCCAACCGGATTTATTGAAGGACCAGCTGGTAAATTTCAAATAATGATACATCACTTATTCATCATCATTATCATCGATTAATGAATTTCTTTTTCTTTTTCTTTAAAAAAAAACTTAAAAAATTATTTCAATAGGTCCACCGGGACCACCAGGTCCTGCCGGTCCTCCCGGTCGTAAGGTATTTAGTTTTGCAGTAGACTAGCAGTAGTATAGTGTTAAATAATCACAAATAATAATGATGATAATATCAATGATAATGGATAGGGCGATATTGGTCTACCTGGACCAGCCGGTGAACATGGACAAAAAGGTGAAAAAGGTGATCGTGGTAAACGTGGTAAAAGGGTTTGTATTTATGTTTTTGTCTATGTGGATGTGTCTGTGTGTCTTGTTGTTGGAAAACAAAATTTTCGAAAACAATTTTTTTTTCTGTCATTTAAAAATTTTGGCCAACGGAAAGTGATACAACTTCTTTGTTCGTTCGGTAAGTATATAGCATGTTTGTGTGTGTGTTTGAATGTGGATGTGCAATATTTTTTTTTTGATTATTAGATTCAATTGACAGTTTATTATTTTCTTTTGGATTTTGTCTTTTGTTTTTTTTTGGTTTCGGTTTTTTTGTTTTTTGATTGAAATTGACATTTTTTCCCTCGATCGCGCAACCCCTCAAAAAAATTGTTTTAAAAACCATTTCAAAATTGTGTTATTGAAATTAATTAACACTTACGAACACACACACTGTATGTATGTATTTATGTCAATCTTCATTATTTTATAAAATTTTTTGTTTTGTTTTGTTTTTTCTTCTTCCTCAAAAATGATCTGATGATCAATTTATTTCATTCATTCATTATGGTTTTTGATTTTTTTGACTATCAAATTCGTTCATTTCATTTCATTTTATTTAAATTAATTAATAATGACGGGAAATGTCAATTTTATTTTATTTTTATCATTTTTCATCATAATGATTTTTTGATGTTTTGTTTTTCTCCGGTCCTTACCCTCGATTTCTCGATTTTTTTTCCGCCATATCGGTTTTTGTTTTGTTTGGAAATACAATAGGGAAATACTGGTGATTTAGGACCACCAGGAATGATGGGTCCACCCGGTTTACCCGGTCCACCTGGTAAAGCTGGTCAAAAAGGTTTGTCATTTGTGATGTTCAATGTTGAAATTTTTGATGTTAACATTATTGTTTTGTTTTTTTCAGGTGATAAAGGTGATCGTGGTGATGGTATTGCCGGCGCTAATATGGCTAAAATGAGTTTTATGAAATCGCCTGATTATGAAGCATTTGCTGATCGTTCTGAATTACCATATGTTCCTGGTCCACCGGGTCCGCCTGGACCACCTGTATGTGATGATTTTTTTTTAAATTCTGATTAATTAATTTTTATTTTTCCAATCAGGGACCACGTGGACCACCAGGTCTTAAAGGAGATTCAGGCCAAAAAGGAGAATCAGTATGTTTGTTTAAGTTTGATTTCAAATAAATAGATGGCGTCTGTGTGTTCATTTTAATTTTTTTTTTTAAATTTTTACAAAAAAAAAATAGGGTGATAAAGGTGAAAATGGATCAATGGGTTTACCTGGACCACCAGGTCCAAAAGGAGAATCAGCTACAATTAATCCATTGGTTAGTATTTTGGTGATTTTATTATTATTATTGTTCTACTATGCTCGTTTAACTAACTTTGCTTTCAAACTAAACTAAACTAATCTAATCTGATTATCTTTCTCTTTCTCTCTCTCTTTTTCTCTCTAATGCTTTCAAAAATAACGGATAAAATTGATTGATTGATTATCAGATTTTAAAACTTTTATTCATTATATTTCTTGATTATTCTGTTTTCGAACATCCACACAAAAGACACATCATCTCACTTTTCCAATAATTTTGATTTGTAATTTTTTTTTGGGTTTTTTTTTCTTTAAAAAAATATTCATTCAGGGTCCAATGGGTCCAAAAGGTGATCCTGGACCAACGGTATGTGACTCGTATAGATTAGATTAGTTTAGAATTAGATTTTAATATTTTTAATATGGTTTTTTCCAATTTAAAAAATAATGAAAAATCAGGGTAAACCAGGTAAAAAAGGTATCGGTGAAAAAGGCGATAAAGGTGATCAGGTTAGTGTTTATTTAAAAGATTTAAATTGAGAAAAAATTGATAATGAAAAAAACAAACAAAAGGGTTTACCTGGATTGGATGCACCATGTCCATTGGGTGAAAATGGTCTTCCATTACCTGGTTGTGGTTCACGTATATCACAAGTATGTTGTTAAATTTCCATTTTTTTGTCAATTGCGATTACTAATGATGAACCCAATCAATCAATCAATCAGTATACGCATTCGAAAATATCATCATCAACAAATAAACAACCAGATTTTGATTATAATGGTCAAATGATTTCAATGAATAATTTTCTACGAAAACGTCGTCGTCGTCGTCGTTAATATCAATCATCAATATGATTATCATGATTTTGAAATACTGCCATATTCATTCAAAAATCATATCGATAATAAAAAACAAAATCTGATCAATTTTTTGTCATTGCTTTGTTTTTTGCTACTCAATTTTTTTCTGTTTCCAAATTCAATTTTCCATATTTACTTTAATGTCGATAGAAATATTTTCTCTTCTCTTTAATAGACATATCAATTTGATTGAATCAAATCCAAAATTAACATATCTTTTGCGTAAGCTTTGCTTTTTCAATTCTCTCTCTTTTCTTTTTTCTTGAAAAAATTTTTGAATTATTAAATTATTCTAATTCTTGGTTTCTTTTTTCTTCTTCTTTTTCAAAAACATCAACAAAAACAGAATCCAACAGCACAGGCACGTCGTGCACGACATCAAACACATCATAATAATCATCGTTATAATTTCAACCAAAATCATCACAGCAACAATCGTCGAACAATTGCCTTTGAACAATGATGATGATGAACCAAATGATGGCCAAAATTCATTTCTATTCATTCATTTCGTTCAAGCAAGCAAGCAAACAAACAAAAATGAAAATAGCAAACCTTTGAATCAAAACCAAAAACCTTTAATTAAATAATTGAATTTTGAATTTTTTTTTGAAAATTTTTAATCATTCAAAACACATACAACGAAAACTGATAATAAAATGTCAACCTTTTTTTTAAAAAAAAAACAAAAATTATATAATTATATACACAAACAAACAGACAAACAATTGAATTTCTTCATATCCACACACACACCAACTCAACCAAACATTTGTTTTATCCTTTTTTTTCTTTTTGTAAACATTTTTGAATTTCATAATTTCATAAATGTTTCATAATAATAAATATTATATAATTTCAAATTTTTCGATTCTCTTGGCTTGTTTTGGATATACTTTTGCTTCTGTGTGTCTTTTGATTTTCGCCAAAAATTCAATGAAATAAAATCATAAAATCAGATTTGGTTCACAAATCTACATAGATATTGGAAATTTGTCCGGAAAATTAATTTCCAAAACATATTTGAGATAGCCAATTTACAACCAAACCAATGAATCAATCATTTCTTTGATTCAAATGAAAACAACAAAAAAAAATTAAATCAAGATTAACAAACTAACTAACTAACGATAACAATTTATTTATCAAAGAACGATATTTCCATATGGACATTCAATGATTATGATTATATTCGGGTACACCTGTCGTCCATTTCGGGCCACAAAAAAAATATAAAATAATGAATGTTGATTTTTTTTTCTCGCCTTTTTTTCTACATTTTCATTTCATCTTAATATAATTTTCGTGCATGGTATGAATGAATGAATGAATGAATGAATGAATGGTGTTGTTCAATGCCAACAACAATAATAATAATAATAATAATAATATGTGGAAACCTGAATTAAAATATAGATATTTTTTCGCGAACGAAAAAAAAAACTGATTACCCATTGATTGCCCATTTATGCCTTTTTTGATTTTTCTTTCTTTGGCTCTTGTTGTTGTTGTTGTTGTTTGATGATGAATTGTGAATGGATATATCCATCATAAATTTTTGTTTTTCTTTATTTATTTCGACGATATGACAGGTAAGATATTTTTTTTAAAAGAAAAAAAAATTGGCCAAAGCAAGAGAAACGTTCATATAATGAAATGAAATGCTTACCTATCTATCTAATTTATCTAACTTTTTTTTGTTGTTGTTGTTGTTGCTCTGATGAAGAAGTTTTGGAGAAAAAAAAATTTGCACATTTTTTCTCAATTGTTCAGTAGTGATGATGATGATGGTGGTGGAAGATTGAAAATGACCATAGCCAACCAATTATGATGATATAATCTCTCTCTCTCCCTCTCTCCCTCTCTCTATTTGATGCATTTGGCTGGTTTCTCGGTTGATACGCGTGTATGAATTTTGAACAAGAAAAACATGAAAAAAATTATTAAAATTTAAAATTTAAATTTTGAATCAAAAAAAAAATTTGAATAACAACAACAAACTAATTGTAGCTCAAACTGAAGAGAATCACAACAAACAAAAAAAAACAACATTCAACAACAAACATCATCATCATCATCAACATAATCATTAATGCAGATGTAATAATGATGAATGGCCGGATATACAATATTAATAGGTAGAATACACCTGTGTGTATGCATGGAATTTATTCAACAACAAAAAATGAAGAAAAATGAAGAATTGTATATGTTAAAAGAAACAAAATTCACACGATCATTCATCGTTCATCATCATCATCATCATCAAGAGGATTTGATGATGATAATCAAGGTCAAATTAGAATTTAATTTCTGTTGTTGTTGTTGTTGAATCCCGACTATAGAAAAACGAAAATCCAAAATAACAACAATTCATTTTCCATCTAGGGTGTGGTGGTTTGTGAAGATTATTTTCGTTTGTTTTGGTGATCAAGCGAAAAAAATTTACAATATGAAAAAAAACCTGTTGAATTTTGGATTGTTTTTTGTTAACCCTCCCCCACCACTTGAATAATGAAAAAAAAGGTTAAGAAAATTTTTGAAAAATGAAAAAAAATGGTATGTGATAATTGATAGTGATAGTGTGGTGATGGTGACCGGATCGATAATAAATGGTGATCGGATATTATGATGTTAACTTTTTTTTGGGCGCTTCAATAATTCAATAATAAAAATAGTTTTTGAAAATCTATTATTATGATATGGATCCGTGTATATCCAGATGATAATAATGATTGTCCGAAATGATAAGCCGGTATTTATATAGTTTTTTTTTCGGAATTTTTTTCTGGTAACTTTGTTAATAATAGTGTTTTTTGTTGTTGAATTCGTTCGGCAGAAAAAAAAGAGAAAGAAGAAAGAAATTATTTTCAAAATGAAAATTATCCTTGGAAATGAATGAAAAGTTGATCAAAATTTCATTCATTAAGTTTGTCAATCATCATCATCATCATCAGTTTTTTTGCATTATCATCATCGTTATATAATATCATTATCATTAACCAATAATAATGATAATGATGATTATAATATTCACTCTTTTTTTTCAATTATCACATGTGAATCTAAAAAAAAAATGAACAAAACAGAAAACAAAAAAATCAAGTGAAACTTTCAAAAAAAAAGATATATTTCCAAGAATGTCATTTGTTGTTTGACATTTTTTTTTTTTGGCTTTTCAGGATGATGATTATGATTTATTTTTGAATTCAGTGATTCAATGAAATGAATGAATGATTCTTTTTTTGACTGAAAAAAAACTTTCATATTAGAATGACCATTTTGTTCAAAATTTCTGTTTTGATAATAGCGGTCATGGGTCATGGTTCGTTTGATTTTTGTTTGGTACAATTAAACAAAAAAAAAAATCTTTTGATTTTGGCCATTAAAAAAAATTGTTTTTAGGTTGCAAAACTGACCAACAACACTCGCACACGGACACACACACCTTTTTTCTCTTTATCATCATTTACCATATATACCATATGGCAAATTACAACATTTATAATTTTCATTTCTCCGGTTTAGGTTAGGTTAAATTGAACAACGCCTTTAATGTTTTTTGTATTTTTTAAAAAAATTCTTGCACTTCGTTTTTAAAACATTCATTCATTCATTCATTCCAAACAGTTAAATGATGCAAACATTAATTGATGATTGTTGTTTTCACCCCCCCAAAAAAAAGTGATGATAAAATAAACATTTGGCTGTTGATGATGGTAAATGGCAAGAAACAAAAAAATGAATTATGAATTAATTGAACGAAAAAAAAAGATTTTAAAATTTATTGTTGAAAACTTTTTGAAGCGATGCTTTTTGAATGATTACAAGAGAAAAAAAATGGCTTATTGTTTTCGATTCGTTTCATTCATTTATTGATGATGATGATGATTATAGATGGCCCGAAAAAGAAAACCAAACCCGATTAGGTGATTATTATCATCATTCAATGGTTATTATCATCATCATCATCATTTTACTCATAACCCATCCATATATTCATTGATTTTTTTTAAAATTATTTTTCAAGCATCCGGAATAGTAAGTAGTGTTTGATGGTGAAAGTTTTCATCCGTTGAAAACATATTATCACACCTTTTTTTTGTTTGTTAAAATGTTGTCAATGAATTCATTTCAGGAATAATAATATCGAGTGCAAAGTGAGGGTGTAGCGTGTTAAAAAATTTATTTAAAAAAAAATCTTTATCCATTATATTTGTAATTAATTTGTTGTTGTCCTGAATTGTCGAATAAAAATCTCTTCAATTTCAAAATGAAGTTCAATGATCCAACTGGTTTTTTTTAAAAGGTAATTTAAGGTGATTAATATTAAGAATGATCAAAAAATGAAAAAAAATTAAACAACTATGAAATATGAATGTCCATTGTTTTCTAAGTAATATAATGTGTATAATCTAACGATAAACATTTTTAATGTTACATAATAATGATTATTATTATTATTATTATTATTACAATCTTAGAGTATACACATATGACCTTTATATGTGTTTTTTCGTTTAAAATATGTTCAATGTACATTAACAAAAAATCACCACCACCACCACCACCACTATCAACTACCATTTAAAATATATAAAAAAAAATAATCTAACTTTACAACAATAACAACCTTCAACCGACAACTTCAACTACCATTCATTTCAAGTACATCTTGATCATTTGATGATAAAGAAGAAGAAAAACCATAGGTTAATAATGATAATGATGTTGAACTTGTCTACAATTCTACAGTGTGTGTGTGTGAGAGAGAGAGGAAGGGGAAAAAAAGAGTGAAATAAGAATGTAGTGTAATGTAATGAAATGAAAAATCATCTATCTAATCAGATGTATTTAAGATCAGGGAAAAAAAATCTTGCTAATAACTGAATGAATGATTTTTGTAAAAAAAAAATCTTGACAAATTATATTATTATTACACATTTTTTTCTGGTCAAAAATTATAGGTATTTTTAAAAGAAAAATTTATTTTCAAAGATTTTAATCAAAATTTTAGTTTTTGAAACAAATCTGAGTGTGGGTGGATAAACAAAAAAGGAGAGAAACAAAATTTTGGTAATTGGTAACTGTTCAGGTAATTTATAAAATTCGACAAAAAAATGGTTTTGTAAACACGCTTCACCTATGATGATTATGATCAATATTGGGCAAAAGAAAAAAAAAGATAACTAACCTTAGTTTTATATCATCACCCATATGATTCACCAAAAAGAAAACCACCACCACCATTACCATTAACAACATCTAATCATCATTATCATCTTGTATAAGTGTACGGTATGAAACTAAGGAAAATTTCAGATCAAAATTATCGTTTGTGTGTATGTGTGTGTGTGTGTGCCTCCCATTATTATTCCCATATTCTCATCATCATTATCATTGTTTTTTGATTCAATGAATTGAATTTGAAAATAAAAAAACAAAAGAACAAAACTAAACTAAACTATAAGATAGAAATCAAATCATTTGAAGTTCAAATTTTCGATTAGTTTATTCTCGTTTTTTTCTGGGTTAGGTTAACAAGAGAGAGAGAGAGATAAGAAAAGCAGAACAGAA